TGGGAGAAATCTGTCATTTATTAAACATTCTCCACTGTGATCAGATGTGCTACATACACTTACTAATACCTCACTAAAAGTACCATCCGGCCAATTCCATAGGGACATCACTGAGGTATCTACGGGAATATCTGGTTTTACAGGCAATCTTTTCAGGAATGTGCAGGATTTTCTTTTAGCTTTTTCCAGTCATGGAAAATACTTAGTTATGAAAAGTATTTCACATCAACTTGGAACTTCGTTTAATTAATATACTCATACTACATATTAGTATACTATGTTCTAAAATACAGTTCCTTCTCTAAAACTGTGGCAGCTGCTACTAAAACACCAAAAACTTTCATTCCCTCTTCCCCAAACCCCCAAATCACTTGCACTTCAGGGGGATGATGACACCATAGCACTCAATAAAGGCTATAACCGATCTATTCATTTATGTGCTACGAACTCCAATGTAGTATTATGTAACTTCATTTAACTCCTTGTCTAATTGATTTGATGCTTTTCATTGCTACTTCTGTAGTCACTAAGGCTACTAACATTTAAACCTCTTTGGGATCCTTGAGAATCTGACATACTTCAGTCTGAGTTCTTTGATGCACTATTCATTTAATAATTGACTAAATAAATCACTTAGCTTGTTGTTTTAGGGTTATTGAATATTCTACACAACTATCAAATTGGTGAAAATTTCCACATATAAGTGTCTCTCAGTATTTAAATAGTGCTAGCAGTTTCTGAAAAAGTTAAGGATACTGCAACTTTAAAAAATAATATACAGATCTGAATTTGTTACCCATCTTTGAAGCCCGTTATCTGAGCAATCTCACACTGAAACATTAATCCCAATCAAATCATGACTTACACCGTATATAGGATAAAAAGAATATTACACAGGGGGAGGCTTATATTCAGCTGCTGTCTATTCACTGTAACTTTTTGCCTACACAAGGTTAGCACAACATTCCTCGCTCACAAAAGATCTGGTAGAGATGCTGAAGGCAGGCAGTATTTTGCCACAAAGATTTTAAAATTAACTGTGTTAGCTTCCTTACATAAATACATCAATTTATATGACAAAATGTTTATCTGCAATGAAGTCATTCAACGGGAGGTCTGGTACACAGGAGGGAGACCGGGTGTTGTTTTAAACAATCAGTAAGTAACATTCATGTTAATCATCTCCCCGTGTATAATAGTCTCAGAAGAATAAGAATGGAAATCCAGCCCTGGGGTTTCTTACCTTAAATCTAAGCAACCACTTAATGCATAAATGGAGCAAATAAAAGAGGTAAGGAAAAAAAGCATTGAAAGGTTAGTTGGAACTTCAGGATATGAAGAAAAAGGAAAAAGAAAGAAAAAAGTTAAGCATTCAGCATTAACAAAATAATGTATCAGTAGATCATAGAAAGAGTGGTTAAAGCAGAATGTGTCATGAACAAAAGATTTTTCAAGCTGAAACTTTTAATATACATTGATCACAAAGCCTTTAGATTAACACCTTAAAAATAATGCTCAAATGCTTGTACACTGTTTACTCAAGTTCCTACAGTGCTAACAAAACACCAGCTTCTTTCAAAATGGAACATGAGATCTAATAGATTAACTTCAGAGATTAATTCATTTGAGCTGTCAAAGAGTAGCCTTAACAATACCCTGAGCTCATTTAAACTGTTACATGCATTAGCGTATTTACAACTAGCTGAAATAGAAACCTCTAGAATATTAAGCTAATATGTGTTCTTTCCTAGCCAATGCTGTTCGTTAACTCTTAACTTGATGCCATAAGATATCTCTTGAACAAAGATTAGGGGCAAATCATTACATCACACCTTGTAAGAAGTACAGCACTCGACATGGATACTGCACCACATATCACTATTTTCTAAACCTTACATTAAGACATTAACCAACAGCAAAATCTTATTTTAAAGGCTAGCTTTCTGACATTAAGTCCTACATCTTACTGGCACAATACCATGTATCTTCTTTCCTCATAATAATTTTTTCAAAAATATCAGTCTTCCCATTTGAATATCATTTGATCTGTTTTCAGTTCACCTAATTTAAACTTAATTTAAACTAATTTAAACTTATCACATTTCTTACACTTTTTGTAAGACCAAACATTAAACATGCAGAATCTCAACAGTGGAGTATCCAGAGTAACTACTCTGTTTCCTCCGTTCAGATCATAAAGAGACCCTACTGCATTAAAAAAGAAACATAATCTGATTTACTATAAAAATCTCCTGTCTTTGAGTTTAAAGTTCTACAGATCTATTAACCAAAATGGTCTCTGCTTCATACAGCTACACTGGAAAACCTGGTCCCCCTGTACTGGCCATAGTGGCCAGTTACATCAGAGGACCCATGAGCAGAGACCCTTTCCTCAGCAGCATTGCCTGGTAATTACAGTGCCTTAAAACACACCACTTTGAATGGATCAAACTTTTTTTTTCATCCTCTTGACTAAAGAACTCTTTGGAGGGAAGAACAGATTGGAAGACTTTGTCACTCGGGGAACATTTGAAAATATTGAAAGCAAGTCTCTTTCAGACAAAAGGTTCTCTAGATTTTTGCAGCACTGAAAGTCAGGGAGGGAAGATGATGAGGAACTGCTGTAATGATATAGCGGCACTTAAATTCTCTCTCACCTATTAAGAAACCATATTGTAGAGCACCTTTTCCTGAAGATGGTACACACTGATGCTTCAAATTTCTGAATGGAAGGAATAGTTGCTCAAGTGCCTATACTACTTCTCTCAACATGGCATACTGGATTTCTTGGCCAAGGATGCTCCCTTTTTCTCCTATATTATTCTCTGTCCAGTTTGCCATCTTTCTCAGGGGTTGCAGTGAATGCCTGCTGCATTAGCTCTTTGACTGTCCTGACAATACATAATTCTGGGTCCAAGTACTAGAGGGGAAACCCTACAGCAGAAAAAGGAAAAAGAATGCAGACTGAGGCACCTCAATACTAACTGGAACTTTAATGCTATTTATGCAGTAATTCCTTACGAATACTCACTTGAAGGGAAAAATGCCACAGCTCCAGCAATAGAGAGCTATAAATAGGCAAATTTAAAGCTCCTATGCCATTTCTTTTTTTCTCCTTGTTCTCCAGCTGGAGATCTAGTAAACTAATCAGTAGTTACTCAAGCAGAACAAAAACAACAGGTTCATAAGCACAACAGGCCACTTTCTCCCCACCAGCAAGACAGTGGTTCTTTCTTCTGTGCTGAAACAGGATTAACCTGATTGGAAAACATCTATAGATCTTAAGGATAGCATGATTTCAAGTTCTCTGCTTATTGTTTCACAAGTACACAATATTTTTTCATGTTCTAGATAAATATAGTACATCAAATACCACTTCTAAGATGTTTCAGGCATATCACAAGCATAACAAAGGGATGCCAATACACATTTAAGTCATCATCCATTTCATGAGCTATGTTCTTTCAGAAGAACATAATTCATTGCATCACAGTGAGTATGATTCTGCTACATTGAGGTAAGTGGGATACCAAGTATAATGGTTTAGAGCCAGTGCTAAGTAAGATAGTGCTGCAGAGCAATTAAAAACTAATCTTTAATGAGTTCTAAAATAATCTCCTTAAAATAAAAGTGATCATTAAAATATTAGCAACTGTAATCGTACAGGTTAACATGCTCCATCCATATCCAGAAGGAGTTCTGCTGACCTGCATAAATTCAAAATTTCTAAGGATTGGCAGTAGATCTTAACACAAGACTGATAATTCTTCCCTGGTCAAAACTGTAGTTATTAATGCTGGGTCAACTGAGGTTGACTCTTTTGGTAAGAAATAGGGGAAAAAAGACTTTCTGTTAACAAACAGGATGTTGAGAAGATCTTGAGTAAAACTGCTTGGGAAAGATACTTAAATCGGATTGTTCAGAATTTGAATTTTAAAGTTTGGTTAAACAACCTATTGCCATTTAAATGGCTATCCAAGCAGACAGTTCAAATTGAACACCATAGGTAACCTAGTGCAGTTAGATGTCAAGCAAAAGAAATTCTGGTGTACTTTGACTGGAAGAAGCATCTTACCTTACTGCTACTTAGCAGGTTTACGTATTTGTTAGTTTGTCATGTAAAAATGTCACTGCTTTGTGTTATTTACCTTTCTTCTCCTGGAACTTTAACACTGTCAGTGTTCTCATTTCCGTATTTGTTTTCCTGGCAGCACAAGTTAACAGTGAGCTCACACCTGCTAAGGACTGTATTTACAATCAGGATGTGCTTTTGAAAATGCATATCTAATCTCACATGTTATATTACTGCTGTTGTGTACACTGATCTAACACTTGCATACAACAGCCATCAGTTCTGTCTCAGTCTCATCTTTGCCCTGAGGTTCCTCCTTTTTTCCTAGTCTTAAAAGGGAGAACGAGCTAGCTTTGAACTTGGCAGCAATAATCCCATTCTGAAACCTCATATGGCACAAAAGTTGTAGAGAGATCACTTTAATGAAGCATGTCACAGGACACGGGTATAACTGACCCTGTCAGAAAGAAGAAAAGGGAGCACATAATACTTTCTACGCAAACCCTTTCTTCGGGTGAGCTTCAATGTAAACCAGTGGCAATTCCAGCTGGATCATACTTCATGGTGCTAATTCAGGCAGAAAAGTGATGGTTGTTAGCGTTTCAGTCTCCAGGTATATTCCTGGCAACTGATTAAAAAATAATAGCAGCATCACACAACTAAGTATTCAGAAGCATTTTAAAAGGTGAGACCCATAGTCCTGAATATCCTCAGAAATAAGGTTCAGTGGGTTTGCAAGGTTTAGAAACATGGGGGCAAGGGAACAGGAAGGGGCAACTGCAAATTGGACAGGACTCCTCTTAAGTTTATAGACACACTGGCCAGGCAAGGAGAAACTGGTATATTACCATGAAAAGCATCAGGTTATTTTGCAAATAATACAAAGACAATGTATTTGCAGTTTGGCTTTTTTAAGAATATCACCTACCTTCACTCCATGTCCAATATCATCTAGAATTGTATAATCAATAGGTTTCCTGATGTAGCGAACTGGTCGCTCCAAGTTAGCTGGTGCAATGATTTTGTGAGTTCTTGAGGTGTTTTTGTTTGTAGTCAAGATACCAATTTCTCTTCTAGCAACTTTCTCTTTGTGAATGTCCACCGTCTACAAAAGACGCAGTGTATTTACTAACAGTGGTATGCATTTGAATAGTCAGTATAAAAAAAACTGAATCAGTTCCAACGTTTTGAAGATCTCTGTATACTGTGCTAAACATATCACTAAATATACTTGATTACATCATCTTTGTTCAATTTACGGTTGAACTGCTCACCTCTAAACCCACACTAATAGCTATGGGTTCTTTGGGTTTTCTATTACTCTCATGCTTTACAGTTCAGCAAAATTCCTTCTCCTTTCCCTTCTTAGTAGTTCCCATTAATTTACTGACACTGTTTTATACGATTCCTCCAATTATCCTTTTTAATTTTACAATTGCTCCCTAAGCTAGTCTTTGAAATAGTCTCCAGCTAGATGAAGTGTAAGGATACCTTCCCAAACCTTAACTTTTACGACCTGAAAAACAAGCCATAAGCAGGTTTTCTTACACCGTAGACCAGTTTGCTAAGCTAGGACTGGTACTCATATGATAGAACAAAATTTCACTCAGAAAACTCGACAAGGTATTTCAGCCATTACAAATCACTCATCACAAAGCAATGATTAGATTTTAGAAGGTGCTCAGTACTAATTTATCCACAATGAAGCCAGTGGTTAAATCCAGTGCCTTCACTTAGAATGCCTGAGGCCAACACTGAAAATTCATTGCCTAAAAACATGTACTTGAATCTTGTTTGGTAACAAGACTAGCAAAAAGTAACCAAAAAGTCTATCCCTTCCAGGAAAATAAAATCTCTTAAGTCACGGTGCATGGAGTTGCTTGCATCATTTAAAATAAAAATAATTCCTTGCTCACAAAACACATTTCTTCATAGGAAATTTGCCAGAGTTGTGAACAAACATTTTAGCTACAGGCTAAAAAGAAGTCAGAGAACAGCCAGAATCTCCACCATTAGGATTTCTAAACATTCATAGGATTTCTTGTTACCACTTTAGCTACATGAATGGCACCGGAAAGATTTTTCACAGTTAGGAGACAGCCTCTGTAGTAACTAAGGAACAGGTACAAATGAGAATTCATTTTCATTACACACACTTTTTAAATTTTATTTTTCTGTGAGTAGCGATTGGGGCAGTAGGGTTGGTTACACCCAAGTAAGGGTGTAAACTTACAAAGTTTTACCCTTTTGTCTGTACTACTGATAGCGAAACAAGCAAAATGGACCCTGTATTACCTTGTGTAATCATTACACCCTTTAAAACCACAAAAATTTAAAAAAAAAAAAAAAAAACAACAAACCACTTCCAAGAAGTTGTTTCTTCACATTCTTCCCAGAGAAGAATTTCCACAAATACCAGGGGCATTATATGGAAGCATAAAGGACTACATAGTATTTCCCAGCAATATGTTTTCAAGATCTTGCAACTTCACTAAAATTAAGCACTGAATATAGCTTTGTCATGCTCATTTCTGCCTAGTACCTCTAGTACCACCTGCCTAGAACTGGAAGGTTTCTACTAAAGCTGCACAGCTATTTCTTAAAACAAAGCCACAGAAAAATAGATTGTTCAAGGTCAAAATGCATTGGCAACCCTCTCTTTGGAAAGCTCGACTTCGTTGAGCAATGATTTGAAATTTAATACGGGTAGTTAAAATATCTGGGACACATCCTCCATTACCATCACAAAAACCCAGACAGATTTGGCCAATATATAAACTCTATAGAAATTCATGGTTCATACAAGCTTAACAGAAACATGTATATTTCTATGACTACTTAACAACTAAACCACTCTCCAAACAATTTTGCCAAAGTCCTTTCTGAAGCTCCCTGCAATGACCAGGTCTATACACCATCCCCCAGTGCAACAGTCCAGATCAGATCTTCACAGCTCTTACAATATTACTGACTGTACAGGCACAAGTGCATAAGCATGTTCCAGGCCAGAATACCAAAAGTGTACCATTCTGTATCAGGGTAAGATTCAATATTTTATCTTCCATCACAGGTTTTTATCCCTTCTCTGTGCCAGACCTTTGCTTTTGCAGCATAGTGAATGGAAGGAGATGTTCTGGAACAAGTAGCAGTCATACCAAAGAGATCGTCTACAGAATCTTCACCTCATCTGTTGAGGAGCTAGAAAGCACATGCTTTCCTAATAAACTAACGGTGTGTGTGATTGCAACAACTTGGAGGACAGTCTCATGTTTAATACAACTGAAGAATTCAATCTCTACAATTATCTCAGACTTCATCTGTGATCTAGACATGTCACTAGAGAACTGCAGAAACATTACACTGACTCTTGTATGCTCTTTGTCTCACAGGCCTCTGATACCATTTGCTAGAATGTTAAACCAGCTCAGCTGCAACAGCACTTGTACCTCTGATGCTATATGATGTTTCAAATGTACTGAAACGTCAAAACCTTATGGGTCTGAATCTGGTCATACAAAAGTATTTTATGCCTTGGACAGTACATTCTCAGAGCCTTAATTTCAAACTACAAATCAGAAAGAAAGTAAAGTAATTAGTGCAGTGTTAGCAAGATCACGTCTTCCTTTCTCTGCATTTCAAATGCTTCACCTCTGCAACTTTAAAGACGTTCTTTTAGTATTTTCTTATGCAATTATCTATAAATACAATATAAGTATAGATATTTAATGCACATGTTATTGTAGCAATGGCATTCTGGCATTGTGGAAACTTGTTTCCATGAATGAAAAGCGTGGTTTTTAAATTATTCATAGGAGTTGTGAGTACAACTGGTTTCCTTAAGGAGTATGGTGATCAATGAGGCATGACTACAGTAACAAACAATGAGATCCATAAAACCTAATTAAAACCTGAAGCTCATCTAATGGGAATTCTTCTGCATGATGATTCAGAACATTTCTTTTACCCTGAATAGCTATGGAATGACTAAGAGTATAAAACCAGCACCTAATTCTGGTACATACTCCTAAAATTGTATTGAAAAGCGTTTTGCTGACAAGTTTTTAAAAAATTTCTTTTTTTTTTTTTGCTTAATAGGCTACTGGAGTCATAAGATCTTAAGACACCTATAAAGCAGCAGAAAGGAACGTAGAGGTATTTGATTAGTAGAGGAAGGAACAAAGATTAACCTGCTACTAAAGAAAATGAAAACATTTATTCTCAACACACAGATAATTACTGCCTCCAGTACTAGCATAAATCCCTTAAGTGAGACAGGAGAATGCTAGCAGAATGTTTATTCAGCAGTTCAGAAACTTCTATTAAGAAGTTTTGGGGGTTAGAGCTGGACTAACAAAACACCTAGCTTGGAAAGTCTGTAAGGAAAAGCAGATGGGATACACTCTACCCTTCTATAACTTAAGACACTGTTTTCTAACAAGAAATCTCAGGCTCCTGACAACATTATTACACATTTTTTCCGCATAGCTCCATTACCTTTAGCAAAAGATTTTAAATGACAGTTCGTTAGAGGTTAGGCTCATTACTATCATCTTTTCATATGCTTTCCATGATGCTTGCAATAAGCCAAGGGATAGCTTAAGGGGGAAAAAAAAAAGTATAAACAACTGCATTTTTTTCTATCGGGAATTTTCTAGCCATTTTGAAACATCAAGTATCCATATTGAATTCAATAGAAACAGCCTCAAGATCTGTAAAGAATAAAATATTTTTTAAAATTAAATAATTTCTGGGATTCCAAAGTTAACATTATTTATACCACTTCACTTAAAAGTCACTGAACTCAAGAGTTTTGAGAAATATTCTCTTCTACCTGTAAGTGAAATTTCTCAAAGTATTAAGTTAGCATTTGTGCTGGTTTTGGCTGGGATAGAGTTAATTTTCTTCACAGTAGCTGGTACGGGGCTGTTTTGGATTTCTGCTGAAAACAGTGTTGGTAACACAGGGATGTTTTCGTTACTGCTGAGCAGCACTGACACAGAGTCAAGGCCTTTTCTGCTTCCCAGGGCTTTTTCGCCTCCCCCCCCGCCCCACCAGTGGGGAGGCTGGGGGTGCACAAGACACTGGGAGGAGACGCAGCTGGGACAGCTGACCCCAGCTGACCCAAGGGATATTCCATACCATATGACATCATGCTCAGCATATAAAGCTGTGGGGAGGTTGGCAGAGGGACTGCTGCTCAGGGAGTGTCTGGGCGTCAGTGTTGGTGGTGAGCAATTGTTTTTATCTGTATCACTTCTCTTTATTTTAAATTTTCTTAGATTTTCTTTTTTAATCTAATTTCATAGAATTTAAACAAACTAACTGCAAATTACCTTGAAAACAGGATTATTGCTTTAAAATTAGTAACTGACTAATTTTGATGTGTTAGAAATGCGACATTAATTGCCTCAACTCAAGTTGTATGCAATTTATACACAAAGAAAGAGGTCATAATGACACAAAATTGCTGAGAAGCTACTTGCTCCATAAACAGGTAATATATACTGCGGAAAATTAGACTTGCATTACCATTTTTGAAAGAATTTGGCTATTCTTGTGTCCTGGTTTCAGCCAGGATAGAGCTGGTTTTCTTCACAGAAGCTAGTGTGAGGCTATGTTTTGGATTTGGGATGAGAAACTGCTGATAAGGTGCTGATGTTTTGGGTTGTTGCTGAGCAGTCAAGGACAGTCCAGCTTCTCACGCTGGCCTGTAAGCAAGGCTGGGGATGCACGGGGAGCTGGGAGGGGACACAGCCAGGACAGCTGACCCAGACTGGCCAAAGAGATATTCCCTACCATACGACGTCATGCCCAGTACATAAACTGGAGTTTGCTGGGGGGTGGAAATCATTGCTCGGGGACGGGCTGTCGATCGCCAGGTGGTGAGCTATCGCTGTATTGGGCATCACTTGTTCCTGTACATTCCTTTGTTGGTATTATTATTGTTGTTTCTTTCTCTCTTTCTGTCCTATTAAACTGTGTTTATCTCAACCCACAAGGTTTTTTTTTTTTTCTAATTCTCTCCCCCACCCCACTGTGGGAGGGGGAGTGAGTGAGCGGCTGTGTGGTGCTTAGTTGCCGGCTGGGGCTAAACCACAACATCTTGTAACCTGCAAGAATACAACTGAAAATGGTTACAAGCCTTTACTGACTTATCAATGGAAGGTCCAAGTGAACTTCCCTGCAGAGACCAACCAGCTCACACATGTTGCTACACTTCAGCTAAGTAACACATGCTGGCTACAGAGAAGTTCAAGTCTGCTGTCTATTAAATACTTATTCTCACGGCCAATATCATGGGAGTCAGATTCTGTAAGATGATGATGAAGCAGATTTCTCCATCATGCAGTGCCATTGGAGAGAACTCGTCACTACCACTCATTTTTGTGATTACATGCTTGTTTATCTAATTAGCAGCAGAGTTTTAAAGATGACCTTGGTAGCTAAGTGTATTCTATAACTAAACCTGAAAAAATATTTCTCATCATAGAAATATAAAAAACCTGAAAATCTGCCAGATTAATTTAAAAAATTTGGACGTTAGCAACATTTCATCGTGTCTGCTAACATGAAAACTTTAAGACAATTTTTTAAACTAGTATAAATATTTATACAGATGATCTGTATTTAGGATTTAGATCTCCAGACAAATATGAAACACTGCACATCATCTAGTTCTGGAAAAGGTTCAAGAAGGCAAATGAGAATAGATTCATCAGCTTTCAAACCAAATCAAAGTAAACCTGAATTTCAAACCAATAGGATTTAATCACTTGCATAAAAATAGTTTCAATAGTAACAATTTCCTTATTCAGGTCCTATATATAATCTGAAAAACCACAAATTATTATCAGTTTCCTTTTCAGCTCTTTGATTAAGTTGGCATTTAGAAGAAAACATAGAAAGTAATACAAATTGGCATTCCACCAATGAACAGAGAACTAGAATATTTTATCTTCTATAAAGATAAATCACATCTCTTGCAGTCTGAGCTACACTTGAACAAAACAAGCAATTTTGAAAACATTTTCTTACTAAGACCCAAATGATTTTGCTCCCTTCTTTGAAGAATATGTGGAATTCCAAATCAGAATTAAAAGCAGGATTACACACCCAGATATCATAATTTGCATTAGTGTTTTCTTAAACAACTTAAATAACTGACCAAAGCATTAATGCAATAATGCAGTACAAGCAGATGGCAGTTACCAACCTGTTTTCTGTTCTATGTTACTGACATCATTTCAAGTCAGACTGACTGAAATCATAATTTAGCAATGAGATATTATACCATGAGGCATTTTAAGTGGTACTAGAAACTGTCCACTAAACTTTACACCCAACATAAAGAAGACCGAGGAGGTCTTCTGCACGTTAGGCTTGTTCCAGGAGAAGTATAATCAAATTTCCAGTGACAAAAATAAATAAATTTCTTAAAAAAAAAAAAAAACACTGAAATTAAGATAGATAGTATAACCATCTACAACATTGGTATAATGGAATGACCTATTTCTGGACATATGGAATTCAACTTACTGAAGTCCCGTGGATCAACACACTTCGTGTATGTAATCTCCAAAATTCAAATATTTGTCTGCTCCTCTGATATAATTTCTTGCATGAAGATTTGGGGAGCATCCTACATATGGATGATGCTGACTCACACAAAACAAAACAAACACCCCACAAACTCAGTTTTCAATTTTGCAGCAATATTTAAAAAAAAAACACAACTTTTTTTTGGTTGTTCAAATGCAGCCTATGATTTTGGCAGATATACAGCCATATACAGCACCCTCGTTATGTGCTGGTAATTTAGTGCTCCATTTTAAATAACTACCCATTTTGTATAAATGCCAAAGACAATCTAACCTAGCATCTCAGTCTGCATAAAACTCAGTTTCTCTGAAGGAAAAAATTTTAAATGCTATGGCCCTTTCCCTTAAAACTACTTTACAGAAACTGTGTGACAAAATGAACTTTCCACACCTATAAAATGCAAAATCCAGTGAACTCTGAATATTTTTATTCATATACTGTCTTTTGCATCAGGCTCTCAAATAGTTGAAATACTTGTCATCTGGCACTAGCCTGTCAAGAAGCACATACATACACACACACACATATATACACAGAGGCATATACATACATACACAGCATATATATATAGCACATATACATGCACACACACAGAGTAATTTGTGACATTTTCTGGGGGAAAAAAAGAAAAATGAATTGACTTGTCCACGGATTAACAAGCAGCATGTAGCAGAAGAAATCAAACTTCTCAGCCTATTTTTGAGGATGCAGTTGCATGACATTGCCCGAGTTATCTAACATAGTACTACTACTAGAAGGGAAAATCCTCATTTGCATCTGCTCTGGAATTTGTCTGACCCCTCAGTGACCAAATTCAGCCCATTAAGCTATCATAAAATTAGTCACTTTTTTTGCTGGTTCAAACCTCGACTAGCCTAGGAACACTTTCAGCACCAGCAAGTTAACAGGTCAGCTCAGTCCACTTATTTCCTACCTTATACACCTCCTACTTTCAAATGTCTTTCTAAATACCACAATATTCTTCATTTTAATTTATGACATTATCACATGGAGATCAAGAAAACCTAGCAGCCAAAATGTACTTGTCAAATAAGACACAAAACTATTCAGTAAGGACTCCAATCAACTCTCCAGTAACAGAAAAACAGAAAAACAGTGCTGTATCATTGCTCTTAATTTCTCTTTTAATTCATCATTGGCACGTAAGCCTCCGACAAATCTATCATCCATCCTCAGCCCATTCTGGAAGTCAAGGTTCTCTCATCAATGTGGTGATGGGACATGGATTTCCTGGTAGTAGTAACTTAGTTTATTGCTGCTTGGAAAAGCTGCAAACAATGGCAGGAGTTCTGCAGCCATATACAAACTTGAAACGCTAATTTTGCCAACTGTTCATGTAATTGCAAAGTACATTTTATTAAGAAAAGCCAGGACCAAACTACTTTTGTTATCTATGTTTTTGTCATCAGATGCCAATATTAAAGGAACAGGAAAAGTAAAAAAATGAAAAGTATTGTTTTCCACCACCCATTTCATATTTCTTTAATTTTAAGTGCCTGTAGCCGATAAATACCAAGTACAGTAAGTCATCGAACAGGAGCTGGAAAGCTTAATCTGGCCCTTAACATAATATTCTGATTTTTCCATTAGCAATTTTTCTGTGCTTTTGACTTATGTGGAAGGAAGCCCTCTCCAAACAATAAACTAGCCAAGAACACGTTTAATCTCTTATCCTATGTAAAACGCTCACACTAACACAGATACACAATAACATAATGAGACCCATTCCCAGAATTAATATGAGAAGAAATGCATCCTTCTGTTTTAAATGCAGCTATTTTTCTCATTCACAAAATGTTAGCGAGAGTCTTACTTGCTATGTAATTTCACAAACAAAGAGACAAAAAAAATCAGGAAAAAAGTCTCACTTGTGAAATATGGTTGATTGAAGATTCCATGCGTCGAAGTTGGGATGCCTGAATATCCAGCATTTGGAGAACATTGTTGGCCAAAGTGTTGATCAGATAGGCTACGCTTGCTAATGACTGGGTTGTGTAAGCTTTGGTTTCTTCCAGGGCTCGCTGCTTATCTGCTGACTAAAAGCAGAAATAAAAGGTTTATTAAGTAAAGTCTCTCACCCAAGGATCCTTGGAATGAACTTATTTTGCCCGTCTTTAAAGGACAAAGAATTATACAAGTCAAACTAATTTACATCAAATTTTCCTCCTTTCCATTCATTCCACAAAAAAATACTAATTTTGCATTTTAAGAGTTTCTACACCTTATAAAAGGAATTAAGCCAGTACACAACATCCTCATCTTTTCTTGAAATACTTAAAATACAACTTTTCATACTGTATTTTAACAATAAGCTTAAAGTGGTCTGAGATACTTATTCTTCAGTTCTTCTGAACTTTGTACTATTTAGATCTATTTAGTTTTCTATCTACACTGTGTACTTCAATTAGATCTTGCAACAGCCTGCAAGTATCTGCCAAATAGCATATTCCTCATCTCTCCCAATTATTTAGACCTCATTAATGCCACAAATGGTTTTTCACAGTGGATGAACTATAATTACTCCCTTAAAATGGCAGCTGAATAAAATGTGAGAGGAATAATTTTTAAACAGAACAAGACCATGATTTCTTTTAAAACATTTTGTATTTTTTTCACATTGTCTTTATTTTCTTCTATGAAGAATTAGTGTGATCCATTTTTCTAGTAGTACAGCACCTAAAATATTTAGGCTATCAAGCCAGAAGACATCCATCAGAAGTTTAAACACATACATATATTTCAAACAACATTAAAAATAATAAGCTAAGAGTCAATTCATCGGGGTTCTGTGCTTCTCCCTGAATAATAGTTAACATCACTAAGATCTAATTCAGTACAAAGAATACAGATTAAAGCACTGGTAAAACATACAGTTAAGATCCTAAGAACTTTACAGTTTCCAAGGCTTTGGAATACACTGAATTTCACTGATCTTCGTCCACCTCACAGGCTGATGGTGCTGTTTCTAAAGCAAGTTGACAAATGTTCTCTACTCCCTCCTGTTATTATAATGCTCTACTTCATAATTTCCTTTCCTTTATGTATTATTCACAGAGGCTGGGTATCAAGATTCAAGAAATGTGCTTTTATTAGAGGGGGAATATAAAGTCATTCCATATTTTTCAGCACACGCTCAATCTACCATCCATTTTACTATATGTACTTTAGGAAACACTGAAAGTAAGACTATCTCTATTTCAGGAAAATCATTCTTACACCCAAGATATTTCCCGAGATCTTGCAGTAAGACTCTTAAATGAAGACTGCTAGCTTTCAAGAGGGGGAGGGGAAAAAAAAAAGACACCACGCATGTAAACACAGACACGGGACTTGCATTCAACAGCCACATGAAAAATACTCAATACTGCTTTCCTGGCAACCTCTCCTGTGTCCACAAACAACAACGGTAACTTGGTTGGCCTCTCAGCATTCCTTCTTCTTGCAGGCCACAATGGTACCACTTCCTAGTCTGCTTCTAGAAAGGAGGATAGCAGCAATAGGCGTTCTTTCCTCGCTGTTTCTTGCCTATGCGGCAGACAAAACCAGACCCAGCAGCAAAAGGAACTGAAAATTTTAGGAGAAAGCTTCTCAGGGCACAGTATGATGATGTTTCCCAACAGAGCACACTTGTAAAGGGAGCCTTATGTCCAGCTATAAAGTTAGATAAATGCTATCCCCAGACCCCATTTAAGAACTCATGACTTTTAGCTAGCTGAACAGCATGTCTTTCTTATGAAAGAGCTCCAAACTCAGCTTAAGGACTCCCAAATGAAGGAATACAGAGCTCTTTGCCTCTGCTCTCACACTGTTGGCTTATAAATACAC